CCCCTCACGGCTCCCGGAGCCCCGCGCTGCCGGGACACGGGCGGCTCTCCCGTGTGTTCCCCTCGCTCTTTGACACGGTTGGTGCCAGGATGGGTGACCGCCTAAGCACAGCCCGCTCCTGCTGCCCGTATTCGTGCCCAGAACTTGTTCCTTGAAGTCGTGCGGTAAAGTTCAACGTGTGCTCGCTGGAAATCCGAGGTTAACAGCTCAATTTCGAAACGAGTGCAAGGCTATTTCTGTGGCGTTGATTAATTGTTCATTTTTGTCCACAACAAGCTGAAATACGTGGTTTTTGTGCCACGTGAGCCACGCTAAAAAAAAAAAAAAAATCACTGGAGTGACTAAAATGCATATTAGTAGAAGAACAGTTTGCATTTATTTCACAGCAAAATAGTTTGTAAGTGCAAAGCATTCTACTTGGCTAATGAGCGACGCTATATGGTAGTTACACATTTCTGCACAGCTATTTTTCTCATTATATTAGTGTCCTCTTGTGGAAAAATGCAATACTGGGGATAGGTTTTGGTTTTGTGTCTGAAGTTTTGTGTTTTGGGGTGAGTTTTGAAACCCATGCTACCGGAGACTATTGAAGATTTGATAAAATGAAATTATCTCTTGCCTTTCCATAGTCAAAGTTCAGGTTCCTCTCTGCTTTCTCAGATAGGTAGAACCTTCTAGAATCAGGATATGTTATTAGTGTTTCTATTTGTATAGTAGAGTAACTCTTCAAAAAAAAGGCTTCAAAATGGTCATTTTTGTAAAAAACAGGAGTAAAAAACAATATATGTAAAAAACAATATATTGTTCTGTTAGAATAAGGAGGTAGCTACCACAAATATATGCCTACTAGAGCAGAATCAGGAGTTTGTTTTTTAAAGAAATACTTTGYTAGATCCTCCTGCCAACCTTTAAAACTGTGCAAACATCCAGTGTAGCATGTGTGTGTGAAACATCTTTAATGGGGTAATAATCTCTAGTTAATAATTAAATCTCCAGGAGCTTTTGTAATTCGTGGATGCTACCGTATTTAATCTCTTTATGTGAAACTTCTTAAAGAGGAATATTCCATATTTKACTTTCATGAAGGGAATCCTGGCCTTATGTAAGGGCTGATTTAMCATAGCACAGGTTTAACTTGTGTCCTGGTTTTACTCGGTCCGATTTTTGGTGGTGGGGGGATGGGACCAAGTAACCCCAAAGATGGCTCCTGTGAGGAAGTTCTAGAAGCTTTCTCTTTCTTCTCCAGCAAAAGGAGCCCTATCCCCTGTGTTTTAGAGCCAATCCTTTATGGCTCTGAGGGTGATGGACAAGCTGCAAAGTGATGTCTTTCCCAAAGTAATGGAAAGCCTGTGGAATGAGGATTATGTAGACTAATGCCATTGACTTGGGATATCTTCTCTGAAACGCTTGCATTTTGATTTTCAAATAGGCTGTCGGTGAGAGATGCATGTTCTGTTTCAGAGCTAGAGCCAACATTGCAATCCTCCTTCTTCTTCTGTATTGTCCTGTTAAAAACAATCGACCAAACAAAACCACAAAAGAAAAGAAACCCAACCAACCAAAACCCCCCAAAAATCCCCAAAACCAAACCCTCAAAAAACCCTAAACCTGAAGTTTGCAGACCTTGGCAAGTTGCTGACAAATTATCAAAATGTCATAGCCATTCTGTGTTTGCTAGCAGTGGAAATGTAGCCAGTGCTGATGCAGTGTTCATTCACAGCTCATCTGCATTGTCAGCACTTTCAGAAAACACAGCTCAAGGCCTCTTCCCTTTTCAATCTTTGGCAATTCCACATCTGCCAATAGAAAGGGAGATGTGTGAAAGTTCAGGGTATCACAGTCCAGCAGTTCAYTGCACTGCTGGTTAGTTTGCTGTTTGACCCTCAAGTAACTTTTCCCGAATTGCACAGCARGTGTTGAAGCCTTTCTCTGAAAATCTGCGTGCACCATCTAGTCCTTTCAATAAGGAAAGTAAAAAATACAAAAAAGCAACAAAAAAACACACAAAAGAAAAACCACTGGGCTGGGCCTCATTATTTTATAGCGGGTTTAGGATCACTGAGGGGAGTTTTGGTTCCTAATGCCAGGGCTCRGAACAGGCTGTGCTGAGACCTTTCTAAAGCAGCTTTTAGGCAGTCTTTGCAGAGCTAGTGGGAGGCTTGGTTTAAAACTTGTTCTCTGAGCTCAACCTTGCCCTTGTTTTGCAATGTGCTCTATCCTGAACATCTGCAGTCTTCTGGGGCTTTAAGGGCCTCTCTGCTGTGGTGGTTGCTGAGCTCTTTCTTGCATTAATGAATGTAGCTTTACCTTTGGCAGCAGCCAAGGGAGCTGCCAGAGGTCTGACATAGCATTTCAAATGTCAGCTGCCAGTCTGGAGCAGCTGCCAGCACTGCAGCTCTGGCAGGGGCAATGTTGGCACAGGACAAACGCAGGGAATGTCAGTGTGGACACAGTCTGAGTCAGTCAGGGCASAGACTTGTGTACAGAGTATCCTGACGTTGGTGAAATCAATGCCCTTTGAAATCTCCCAGCAAGCTGGCACCTGTGTTCTTGGCTCATATATAAGGAGATGCTGCTGGTCCTGGCTGTTGTGGTTTGTGTTCWGACCTGACTGTGAGTAGTTGTCAGAGTGTGGGGCATACACTCAGAAAGTAATCCTGTGGTGCCTGGAGTTTCACTTCTGAGTGAAAGAGTAGCTCAAAGCACTGGCGGTAAGAGTGTTCAGAGAATGTAGTTTCTAAAAGCAGTGATTTTGGTCACATGTATCTCAATTTTAATTCTTTTAAATGAACTTTTTCTTGTAAATGTTTGGAATTTATCTGTTGATTGATCTGAATTAACATGGGAAAAATAATAATAAAAAAAAATTAACTACTCTCCTTTCTTGTCATCATTGTCTTTATGAATAGCTGTGTGTGGAGAAGAGAGCAGTTGTATTTCTTCAGCATTTTGATTGAAGGCTTGGCTGCAGACATTTGTGCTAATTTGAATCTTCTATTTGCTGTAGGTATGGGAAATAAATTTCTTTTGAACTGTTACTTCTTTGCAATGAATTGTGCCAGCTGTTTTAAATTAGATGCATACCCATTTACTTCTCACCTGTGATTTAAACCAGGCTTGTTAATTGGGCCTGTTAGATATAAGCACATCTACCAGAGTTGTCCAGATAGGTAGAGACAAATTCCAGATCATTTGGACCAAATCAAAATCCTTTGCTGAGATTTAAGTTTTCTGCAGAGTGTTCTTTTATAGGCAGTTGTTAAGGGAAGAGGGCTCGTTGAGGTTTTTTGGGTTGGCTGGTTACTCATGTGGGGTGCATCCATGGCATGCAGGGGTGCATGAATCAGAAGGGTCTCAATGCCAGGCTCAGAGATATAATCATAGGCTGGGTACTGTAGTATTTACCACAGTGTTTTACATATGGAATTAATCTATGCCCTTCCTTGGGCTSGAAATGTGTTCCTTTGCATTTCTGCTGGGTTTGTGTTCCTTATAGGAACAAAAGATTTATGTTAAGCAGCCCAGRCCAATTTTAAATTCTTTTGATACCACCAGCAATGGAAATACTTACAGGAAACCAAATTCCAGACTTGCTGGAGGGAATGCTTTTTACTAGGATAAGAGTCACCTAAAAACATCCATAAACTTTTTGATGTTCTAGGTTTGTTTCTCCCTACAAGAAAACTTGCATATACAATAAAGCCCCCATCCTGTTCTGCATCTCAGATCGGGGTTGTATGGCAGATTTCTCCTTTTGAAGTCTAGGAGGGTTTCTCAAATGGGGAAAATGCAAGCCACAGATCATCAGAGGCTTATTGTCCATACTGGCTAAGAAATTATATCCTGAGATAATTACAGTATTGATGAGTGCTGCTATTTTGAACCCAAAGAAGGAAATTTCTGGTTTTGAAAACAGACTAACCCAGGCAGTCACTTTTACTGTAAACTGGATGTGTCTGTATATTAGAAGAAGCTAGATATCAGATTTCTTTTCTGAAATGTTAACTGCAGCTTGATGTCCTTTCTTCTGTGAATATTTAGTGTATCTTAATTTCATTTAAAAACCAGCAACTTAAGGTTTTGTTGAGATCACAATTAGACCTTCCTCTATCACTGTGCTAAGAGGGTTGATGTGAAGAGATTAACATCTTTAGGTCTGCAGAAAGATTCTTTTTAATAATATGCTCTAACAAGATATTAGCAATGTTTTCTTGTGCTTAGTGATCATACAGTCAGAAAGCGTGTGAAAAGAATATGGAAATTTCAAGTGTGGGAAGTGTGGGAACAGCATGGCATAGATGCATGTGAACATTAGTCTTTACCATGCATGATGCAATTTGTGACACTTAAAATTTTGCAAATTACTGTATATACTAGATTCTTTTCACATTAATTTCAAGACTTCTTTTTTTTTTCCTATGCTCTCCCAGTTAAACCTGGAAGAAGGAACTAAACTTGCTCAAGTTATGTAAATTTGAGGGTTAGCATGATGGTAAAGAACTTCCCAGAAAAGGACATGGCAAGGTGAAAGGCAATTCCAAAAGGTTTGGAAAATAATGAGAGACAAAGTAAAAAAAAAAAAAAATGTAACCTCTACAAAATGAAAGAGAATCTGTGTGTCTGGGGGGAAGCATGGCTCTCCATGATGCTGATCATAGAAGGAATAAGCATCTTTGAAAGAGCAAGCATGACACTGTCCAGCTGCTTTTTGTTTTGTTTCTGCAGCCAAAGACGTTCTGGAAAGAACCAAAACATTTCCCCATAGGACAGAAGGCAAAAGCAATAAAGCCACTTCCTGATACTGCAGCAGACACTGATCATTGAGAAAGCTTTTGATTAAAAATATCTATTGGAAAAACACTAAAGCATTAATACTAAGTGAGCAAACCAATCTCTCCCACTTTCTATCCCACAATAATCTTGTTGCTGAGAAAACTGAGCTTAATGGATGGAATGACAGAGGCAGCTCCGGGTGTGAGACACCTTGCAGTCAGGAGCTGTGTGGCTCTGCTGGGAGCTGTTTTKGGGTGGAATTAGAGTGAGGTTTGAGGAGAACAGAAATTGCATAAGGGCGTCTGTGTTGGTTGTTTCCCAGGAGCCRGTGCCACTGGAATAAACAGCTGTGCAGCAGTACAGTGTCTCTTTTGTCATCCAGCCTGACAGAACYGGCAATGCAAACAGAGCTCAGGCCTTGAATTCAGCCAGGGAAGCCTGTGGGATAAGGGAGCTTGTCACTGAACCTTGGAACCCGGGTGATGTGTTGGGGTTCTGATCAGAGACCAGAGCTTCTTAAATCCAGAAGTTGTTACTGCC